GCAGCAAACAGCACCACGATCACTACACAAAAACAGTGGGAAATACAGAGAGAGAAAGCTCAGCATAAGATGTGTGCCTCCTAACATGTGTCATGCATTAAAGAGCACAGGGGAGCAAAAGCGCAGAGGGGGAGACACATTTGCTACCAGTGATAAATCCCCAACACTGCCTCAGGCATTCACCTCCTATTATTAAAGATTCAGTGAAAAAGCTTCTTCTTTCTTTTTCCCTTGAACGGCACATTCACTGTATAAAATGCACGGTGGTTGGAGAATCCTTTTTATTTTCTCTCCAGCACACAGCCTCATATTCCATCTCCTCAATCAGAGATTGCAGAGTGAGCATGTTTCCAGAGAGTGGCACTGTGTGGTAGCAAGTTTTTAAATAAACCCATAATTCTTCAGAAACAGAGGAAGCCATCTCTCATTTGAGACGAGCACAAATGCTGCTTCACCTGTGCTCCTCTCCTCTTCGTTTCCTTCCCCTTTTTTGTCCTATCAGCAGGTACTGTAGTCGTCTACTTGCCTCCCACCTGGGTGTTAATTACAATGCCTTCAACATGGGTCGGATGGGGGTAGAGGTGGCTGTTTATAAGGTTCTTTATGAACATTTGTGACTGACCAGTGCCACGCTTTTAGACACCGGAGAGGGCTGCAATGAGGAGGACCTGATAGTGAGAGCCGTTCCAGCTCAGCGGCTGACTGTCGGAGTCAAGCAGAGGTGAATGAGACAGTCTGTCAGGGGGGTTCAAGCGCGAAAAGCGTCAGATAATGAGCAGATGTCATGATATTTTGCTCAAGAGGAGAGCATGGAGTTTAACCTTCAGTGCGCTCGATATGCGAGAGAAGATCTGCCCACCACCAGACGCAGAATTTAAAATTTGGAGTTAAAACAAGCAGATGGAAGGAAAGCTGGTCAATACTAATTTGCTTGTATCACTAGTTTAGTCAGGGTGCAGATCAAATAGCAAGCCAAACTCCAAAACAAGAGATCGTGACAGGAGGAAGGGGATTCAAATTCAGCACATGGAAAGTGTCAGATGCTTAAATACAGGACAGCACACACACACATGCACACATTTATGAGGACAGTTTTCTTGAATTTTTATAACCGTTTTGTTCTCATTCTACATTCACAATGTCTAGTAAGTCAAGAACGCTCTCCACTATGCTTGGCAAAGGAAGGTGAGGTTCAATGACAGTTGAAACCCATTACTTATTGATATGCCCTTGACCATAAGCACTGCACATTTCTGCTTTTTGCTGGGTAAAACGATAGGCACTGTTGCCGTCGTGCCCTGTATGCCGTTACATACTGCATTAGATCACGAGGAGGGCTGAAGTGGTGCTTTAGGATGTCAGCAAGTAACATGTGACCTACTTTACCATGGAAATACACAGACCATTTTGTTAAGTGGATTTATTTGCTAATGAATGGAGCTCAGAACCACAGTCAGTACTGTTGCCTGAGAGAACTGCAGCTCATTCTGGACCATGTTATTGGCTTTAGCACCCTCAATTGGCTGTGTCCACATTATGAACCAAAAACGGAAAGAAAACAAAACAAAACAAAGAAAAAATTATTTATATTTGTATAATACTAAGCATCCAAACAGGGTTATGATGAGTGCATTTTTGCCTTATTTGCATGTCTTTTACATGAGGATGCTTACTTTTTTGCCTTAGTCATGTAGCTTTAATCTCCGTCTTCAGTCGTCAAGTCACTTTAACGTTTAAAGAGTCAGCTGGAAACCTTAAAAAGTCAGCTAGAAATTGAGTTTTCAAACACCATTAATTAGCCTGCTAAGTACTGCTAGGTACTGCTAGGTGCACCCACTAGGATTCTTACGGGGGGAAACAATGTTCCAACTTGTTGCATTTATTTGAACCAATTGCAATTGTCTTGCTGCTAGGTTTTTTACTTTTGTACCATCAGTGACTAGTTTAGGATTAGGGTAAATTGACGTTTTCAATATGTAGGTTGCTAGCTGAGAGGTGGTTGTTGCTCTTTCACGTAGCGACTGAGTCTTTGAAAACAGTAACACAAATAGCAGAAGGAGGAAGAATGCCAACTGAAGCAGTTGGGCTATGGCAGGCCTATACCAAGAGCGTACTTCTTTTGAGTCGGACTACTTTAAGCCCTTTGGTGATGATGGCCGATATAAATGAAACTGACCTGACTTTAATAAAAGAACTAAGTTGTTACTGTAAGCAGCTATTGCAGCCATAGCTTCAAATAGAAACCAACATCACATGAATGACAAGAAGGTTCAAATATACATGGTCACACACATGCACATACACATGCTCCTACACGAGGGGACTTACTGAGGAGGATGATGACACAGAGCAGTATGGCCACCAGAGCTCCAGTTGTGAGACCATCTGAGAAGGGCAGGACCTCGGGGTTACACGACTGCATGTTTCCACGGCTGTCACAGGCACACACGCGCACAATCAGCGTGCTGGTGCTGCTCTGAATCGGGTAGTCATTGTCTGAGATCACCACAGGCAAGAAGTACATGCTCATCTCGCGCCGGCTGAAACCTCCCCTCTTCGTCAGGATATTGGCAGTGTTATCTGTGGAAAGATTCAAATGGGCGATGCTTGTCAGTGAGCTGATGTTTCACTTAGCTAACTGATCTTGAATGAAATAATTGCAATCTTTATTTCCTTTTCTTTTGTATCCCTGTGACAGACAGTTCGTAATAACTTTGCCAGGCCATTTGGAATTACTGGTATCTCGGGTGAAGATGTCTACATATTAATTAAAACAAACACTAAGCATATTATTAGCAACCTGTGTTATTTGCTCAAAAACTATATTCTTCACAGATAAATTCAAACACAGCTTAATTAGTAATCCTATAGTAGTGTTCATTCTAAAAGGACAAAAGCATGGAGGTTACAAATGGCTACAGTTTATTATTAAACTAATTAAAGTCCAAAGTGTGGTTGTTATAATTAAAATAGAAAATTCCAGTCTCAGTTTTGAGTCTCTGCTCTTTTCATTTAATCTACTCCACTTGTATCCCAGTGGATGAAGACTTTCAGTGAATATTTACTCTGAATCAATTCTGGACTAGGCATACTGAAGCAGTTACAGTAAATGGAAAGAAAACATACAGATAAAGATTTTGAAGTAGTCCCAACTGTATTTACAAGCTTGCTGAGCTACCACAGCAGTATTTGAAAGAAAACACATTGTGGGAAGTACCACTATTTTGAGTAACAGATATGTGTCTTGCCTAACAAAGAAACAAAAATCTGTATGTAACACAATGCAGGACAGATGTGGGCTGACTTTCACAGCGGCTCTTTTGTAAATGAAATTTTGCAACAACTCTAGACAAGATTTTCAAGAAGTCAATCAGAAGACTAAAATCACACAATGGAAATGCATGTTTTCTTGTCAAATATATTGTACCCATTCTGCTCTAAATTAAAATGTTCATTTTCATATTTAAATTAATGGCACTTTAAATGTTCATCTTATCAAAATCATTTCCCCAAAATCATTGGTTATTCAGTAAAAAATGTATATCTTACCTTCCCTGTCAACAATTGTGAAGTTTGGATTGGTGGGACTTATACTAAAGACAAACTTGTGTCCAACCAGGGGTTCGTCTGTGTCAACAGCACTTATTGTCTGTATCAGCTGAAAGAAGAAAAGAACAGAACAAAGTATGAGGAAAAGGAGTGAGCGTACACATGGAAGTGTGTAATTAATATTGTTTAGAAGCTGATAACATAATAATCATAAACACATGACTCAAAAAGGAAAGCGGTTTACTATTTTTTATTACATTCAAAATATATTTATTTCCATGCATTATAGCTTATTGCAATAATGTGGGAATAAACTGAGGCCAATCATACATATAATAAACTAATCTGCAATTAGCGAGGAGTGTTAAGATAATTAAGAGATTTGCTGTCTATCACAACTAAAACGTGTGGCTGACTTTCCTCCAACACAGACAGTCAGTGTGCACCATGCGCATGTAGTCAGCATTGTGGATACAGACAATTCCCTGCTAAATGTCAGGAGGTGACTGCTATGTAAATGACTCCTGACGACTGACTGTTGTTCACTGCCAACTTCCGTTTGGCTCTTTGCCCAATAACACTAAAAATTTAACCTAACGTGACCAAGACAACTGCCTCTCAGATACCACGTTCCCTGCTTCTGGGTCCATTTAATTAAATGTAATATACTGTATACTGCACTGACATCAATTTTATTTTAAAAGATGCTATTGTCCATCCACTCTAGACTGTAATCTGACTTTGAAAGTTACCAAAAGTCAGCTGCTGTAACCTGTGTGCTCATTCTGTATGCTCTTCATTTTGCTTTGGATGGTGTGCAGTGATTCATGCAACAGCACTTTGCAGATTCATCACTGTGTCATTGCAACATGAACAGCTACGCACGAAATTATGACTGTCCTAATTACTGTATACAGCAGTCTGTCTATAAACCCACAGTCACATACATTTCAGTTATATGGCTGATAGTTCGACCAAATCATGAGTAACAGTAAATGGAGATACCTTAAAAAAGTCATCTAAATTAACCAGGAACTACTGAAATGAGAGATCATGAATTTTAAGCACCTGTCCTGCTTTGACATTCTCACAGACAAATGTGTCATAGGACATTGCAAACTCAGGGGCGTTGTCGTTGACATCTAACACCTTGATGAACACAGGCACTCGGGTTGTCTGCCGTGGGTTATCTGAAATAAATAGATACAAAATATCAGCATGCTTTTAAAGAACTCATCATGAGAACTTACTGAAGGTTAAATATTATGCAATATACACTAAAAAAACTACTTTAGAAATGCAAACAACAATTACTTATTTCAGTGGCCACAACAGATATGTTGTGCCATTTGGACATTTCTCTGTCCAGTGCTTTCAGTGTTGTGATGGTCCCATTCACAGAATCAATGTTGAACAGCCTCTCTAGATCTGTATGCCGATCAATGGAGTATCTGAAATAATAACGCACAAGTGGGTTATTGTTAATACCAATGCAAATGACATTCCCTAAACTGTGAACATTTATCACCTTATGTGTTATCTCTACACCTTCTGCATACCCCTGATATTGCTAATTAAATAAAGTGCAGTGATGATGCTTTCGGCTTGCACGTATCTTCACAAGACAACCACAATGAAGCACTCCTTTACTTCATAAACATGTGTTTAACACGCTACATCACTTCTGGTTTCCAAAAGAAAATATATTCCATGCACTTCAGTGTCAAAATATGATACATCTTTCCTCATGCCTGCTCATTTGTCACAGTCAACTTTCATATTCTACTGAAATTTGAATATGCAACACAATACGCCATGTGGCATGTGCCGAGAGTGGCATATCTCTGTGTCAGAGACGGGCAGGCGCCATATGTGTGGAATGGCGGCACTGAGCTGTGTGAATCGATACAGCGAATTAGGCTCTTTCACTTTGACTTTGTGCAGTGCCACAGAGGGCTTACATAATTCTGGGAAATAAACAGTGTCTGTATTCACTTCACAGGGCTGCCGCCATCTTCCACTGGGAAATGACCAGGAGGGAACCATGAATAATATCCTTTTCTCTCTCCCCCCCACACTGACACATGGCTAGGCTGATGGATTAGATTTAGCCAAGTGGGCACATTTTCATCCTCCCACTAAAAAAAAAAAAATGATAAGAGGAGACTTTGCATTTCTCCCAAATGTTGCTTGTTTTCTTATTGATTTTATACTGGTATAATTAAAGCAGAAACAATGCCTTTTAAAACAATGAAATTACCACGATAAAGCATTACAGCCACTTGGATGGTGACAAAATCTTTGCTTAACAAGTCATTAATTAATTTCTAAGTTCACTCTAATTTAAGTACTTAATTCCCATGGAGGATGAATTTGTTATGAAAAGGTATGGATAGGATTTGGCAGTCTGACACCGTCTAAGATCTAAACACTTCTCGCTGTGTCTTTTAGCATACTTGACTGGCTTGTTGTCGGCATCAGGGTCCCTGGCCGACACCACGCCGACGAAGCTGCCGGCGGCTGTGTCCTCATGCACCTCGATGATGTAAGGGTTCCGGGTGAAAACGGGAGGCTCATCCACATCCTCTACTGTTACCTTGACAGTGGTGTAGTCTTTGAATTGCAAACCGTGGATGAACCTCGCATCTAAGTAGGTGTTTTTTACCTCCACTCTGAACTCATAGTCCCTCTTATTTTCATAATCCAGTGCCTGGAGATGAAAGAGTATCAGAAGTCAAGCTGTAGACTTTTCCATAAAAACAGTTCGCCTCCAGGATTTTGATAGGCAATTCATTGCATTTCATTTGTCTGCCTTTATCTTATTCATGCTCTAAATTCTAAGTTACAAATCCAAGTGAGGAATACTGATCTGGGAGATCCTAGGGGAAAACTAAAAAGAGTTTCTAGCAAAAGACTGTTTTATATTATTCATTTCACAGGCTTAGGGTATCAGATTCTACACTCCAGTTCAAAAATAAATTCTGTCATATGTCTTTCTTACATGAATAAACCTTATCAGGGGGCCATTTCTAATCTGAAACTGTACTATGTCTTTCCATTGAAGTTAAATGTACATATTAAGATAAAAAGACAGCTCAGATTTTTTATTTAAATTAAAACAGACACTAAAAGAAGAAGAGTCATGGAAAACTTAGAGGTTTAAACTACCATTAAAAGATGTTATGATATCAGGTTTGTAAAATCTGAGCATTTGCTGGGATGTCATTCAAAGAGGAGCATGTTTACTCAAAAAAAGACACATTAAACCTTGTACTTGGATGCACATCTGAGTTTCTCTTGTGTTTTAAAATCCAATTTATCATTGTAAAAATAAATCTTGCAGTTAGTATTTATATATATTTATATATTCTATTTAATGGGTTCCTTGAAACACATTTCTTAAAGATAGGAAGGCTGTCCATTGCAGCTGTATGAAAACATGTCACTTGTCACAAGAAGTGTTTTGTCTGATTGCGGAGCCATTATCAATCAAGTAATAGTTGCAGTGGCTGTGTTTGACATGGGTTCCAGACAGCGAAGCATGAATCACTAAAGTACACAACAGACTCTAAAGCACATAACAGGGAAAGGAAATGAGGAAGAAATAATAATAAGTTACCTTTTTGATTATGATGACTCCCTCTTGAGTGGTTTGATCAGTGATGATGTTGAATATGTCATGACCACCGACGATACTATACTCCATCTCAGCATTACGCCCAACATCTGGATCATCAGCCTTAATACGGCCAATGGCACCTCCAATCTCCGTAGACTCCACAGCAGTTACACGGAAAGAATCTACACACGACAGTGAATGAAAGGAATTCATTACTTGTCTGTGTGTGGCTTGCGTCATGAGTTAATGTAAAAGATGTGTCTTTACCTCAGAGATTTGCGACAAATCACTCATGTTTAAAAGTCAATTGCAAATCAATACAGCATAGAGGGAGAAAATGGCCTCTCACGGTTAGCAAAGCGTGGCGGACTGTCGTTCACGTCGGAGAGGGTGATGCTGACTGTGGTGGTTCCCGAAAGCCCACCCATCTGTCCGGCCATGTCCTTAGCCTGGATCACAACCTGGTAGTTTTCCTTGACTTCTCTGTCCATGCCAGGTAGGGCTGTCTTGATAGTGCCTTAAAAAAAAAAAACAACATTCTTTCCAGCACCTTTGCCAGTTTAAAGGTTCAGTTCCATCTCAACCATGTTTGCATTTATGTAGTACTAATTTGGTTTTCCAATTACGTTTTGAGGGGAAATGTAATTGCTACTTGGCTTATGTTCCCTGGCAACGTATTTCTAGTGTTAGAAGTGCTACATTTATGTACCACATGTAGGTCGCTGGAGGTGGAATAGAAGGATCTTGAGTCCTGCATGTGATTAGTTGGATAACTAGTCATTAGTACATCCAAGGGTCAGTTCGTTTGAGTCCCAAAGCTGTATGAAACTGGAAACTTAAAGATGAAGACAGGACTTCTGAGGTTCTGCATGTAAGATTCGCTGCCTAAGCTGTATGTTAAACAAACACATCAAATGTGTATATAAGACAGTTGTTGGAATGGACAGAACAAGGCTGTTTCCGTCTTTTTCCAGCTAACAATGTCACAGAGCTATGTACTATGTGCTGTCCCATCTGCCTTGTGAGACAGCAAATAAGCACACTTCTCAAAATGTCAGACATTACTTAAATCTCATTTTAGACATGCTGCATATAAATAATGTGAATAATTGCTTTAAAATGGTTTGCCTTTGAAGATTTTATGAGTCACAGACAAAGCAAATGGTTCCTTGATAACAGGTTTCTTATATGATAAGTACAAAAAAAACAATGTTTTTGCACTACTCTTCTTGAAAAGCAATAAACATGAAGGAGCTTGTTGCACCAGCTGTTCAAACCCAGTTATAAATGTCCAAATTTACACGTAACTAAACTAAAGCAGGTTGTACCACACAAACTAGTATGAAGGGCTTTATACATGTAGTAACTACTACTAGTAAAGACTGCATTGTCACCTAACTACTTGCTACAGCAAAATAAATGCAACATATGGCACACGTGGAGCTACTAGTTGAGCTAAATGCAAAAAGAAAACTTGAGACACCCAATCAGTGATGTTGAGTAGCGATACGATGCCTCATACACTAAAACCAGAAATACCACAGAGTCCTGTATGAGTGTCTTGAAGAGGAGATGGGCTTTCCTACAAAATGGTTAGCTGTACTCATCTTACATGTTGAAAGGGATAGTTTAACTACAAGTGCAATACAGTAGTTTGTGGAAAACGTGTTTAAAATGAACATTATTTGCCTCTTAAATTACACCTTGATGTTTTGTGTCAGAAGGGGACAGGGGTAATGATATTAAGTACTTTACTGTAAAGGATTGATTCCAAAAAAACAAAACAAAATCAATACCTCATCCAAAATTGAAATGACGGCACGGCAAAACTATACTTTTTTTCTAGAATTTCAGGATAATAAAAGACTGTTAGAGATCGATTTGCAGTGTGTGGCACTTATCTGTTCTGTCCAAGGTCCTGAAGTAAGTGAGCTCAGACACATAAACCAGACATATCTTAAATGGCCTTGGAGTAAAAATGTCCATGTATAAATAATGTGATAGTTATAGTATTAAATATTAATTTCTTTATTTGTGGATGTGTAGTTTACCAGGTGTTGAGATTTGTACCGTTTTTTGCGACTTTTGTCAACCAAATAGTCTTTATTGCACTTCCTTACTGGAAGCAATGCCAACAAGTGAACATAAGTTCAGTTTTTCCCAATGAAGATGAATTGCTTATTTGTAAAAAAAAAATAAAAATAAATAAATAAATAAAAAACTTGCCTTGTCTTTATTTTTGCATCAGTTCTCAAACTTGCTTCGCAATATGGCCATGTCATAGAAAGTTCCCTTTGAGGAAGCAGCCATTCGAGATAATGTAGATGAGCTTGTGTATTGGAGAGATGCAGAGGGAGCAACATTTCAATACACATTTTGTGTAAAGATGTAATAAATTAAACAGAAGAATAAAATCAAAGTTTATACATTTTAATCTAATATCTAATCTGATTCAATATTTTATGTTTCACTTGTGTTAAATGCGCAAACAAGTGGCTTCAGTTCCTCTTGTAGCGTCATGATTTAAGTATTCAAGCTTTTTTATGTAGCTCTTCCTTATGCTTGCACCTCAGGGTCTCATGTCCTTCATTAAAGCTCCTCTCTTCACAGCTGATGGGTCAGACGGACAGAGGTCGAGGTGCTTGTATACGGTAAGCCTGGCTGGCATCTTGACTTCATCTGACTATATGAGCGGATTTCAGACATGCTGGTTGATTGAGAGGCTGGTACACAGGCTGTCTGGCACACTGGTTGATGGAAGGTTGGGTGTCAGACAGCTGGTTAGCTCATGATAACACTTTCCATACCGAAGTTGATACTTTTGCAACTCCAATTGTATCCAGAACCATTGATGTATAAAGTCTCAACTCTAGCTTGGGACCACCTCGACTTGGAAAGTGTTTTGACTTTGGGAAGTCCTCTGTCGCTTGGCTTTTTATATCACTCCATTTCTTTCTAACCTCTCGCACTTCCCTTAAATTAATGGCTGTAGTTATCTTTGGCCATTTCTCAAGCTTCCTTCTGTTGGTGATGCTGTGATTGAACTTAGAGTCGAGCTGTGATTTATTTTCTTTCACAACACTTAATGATATCGTGACTTTAACATCTGTAAAGTAGGTCACGGTAACTGCAAGGCTATTGGAGATTAGTTAACAAGGGGTACAGTGAAGCTACACACTACAAATATGATGCTGACTATCGTTCCTAACACTTTTTTGATTGGGGGAATGATCCAACTTTTTACATCAAATCAGTACTCCTTGGCATATCAAGCAATGGCAGTAACAGATTAGGCCCTAAACAATGTCCAGTGTGTAACACTACTTTGTTTAGTTTTAATAGGCTACTTTACTCTGCAAATATTAAATCAGCTGATATAAAAAAAAAGGTAATGATAATAAAAATAACAATAAAATACATACATGTATCGATATATGTGTCCTATTTATAAATCAAGCATAACAACACGTACCTTTAAGGGAGAAATGGCAGCTGATGCCTGTGAACGCTTGTCATTATTGAACAATATTATGGATTTATTACTGAAAGGTAATGATACCGCTGACTTCCTTATTTAGATTATCGAATGCTCTCTGATTGGACGAGGCCACAGATGTTAACCAATTTACTAAGAACTTATGAGGACATTATGCACAAGCTAATGAAGGATTTATGAACAGCTGGTGCAACCTTGTCCAGATCTACATATTTTACAGTGAAAAGTTGAAAAATACGTTTTTCAGCCAAATGAAAACAACCAGAAACAATACTTAGTAGATGTAAAATCATGTGCTTTAAGATTAGCAGCACGGACAAGCAGATAAATCCTTTCTCTGCTTGATTATCTTCTGAAAACATAAGCAGTGCAAGGGATCTGTTTTCAGACTTGCATGACATTAAAAACTGCATCCAAGAGATCCTGCTGGGTTTGGCTTACCATTTTCAGAATCCACAGAGAAATACGGTTGTCCCTGTAGAATGCTATATACAAGCTTGGCACTGTTCCCATACGTTTGATCATCAGCATCAGTGGCAGTTATGGTGGCAACAGATGTACCTGCGAACAGAACATGCAAAGTCAAGTTTAATGCCAAAGCAGTGATACGTATACATATTAAGTTAAGACACATATTAAGACACAATCAAGTACCTGACTGGACATATTTTTATTTACTTTGTGTTCATATAGAGGGAATTTGCTGTAAACATAGCAATACTTGTCAGCAGTGCAATGAGCCATACCATATCTCTAATTTCATCCTTTCAAACAACAGGGCTTTGGAGAAAAGCATATTGGTGGTGAAATCTTAGTAAAACAGTACATTTGTCCTAGCTTATTCCCTTTTTAAACAAACAACAAGGAATTTGCTGCAGCTGGGTCAATGGCAGAACCAAAGTGAGAGGCTTGCAGACTGTAGCTGGGTCTCCTCTGGCACCTCAGTGAAATGATTGCCTTGATTAAACTCTGGTATCCTAGTAGATGGATCTCTTAAATATCAGTGAGACTGAAAGCTTCTACGTCATCAAGTAAAGATTACACTCTCTTTAAGGCAATACATCACGGAAAGTTGAATCCTTGCACAGACGAAGAGTAAAACCAGACCTGAGGTGTTGCTAATGTCACACTCACACAACCAGTGCTGCCTTTAGCTTAGCAAGGTCATATTACTGATGCATTTTCTTCTGACCTCTGTTGTCAGACCCATCGGTGTGGCAACATCAGATACATACTATTTTTTACCGACCAGCTAGAACAGAATTACTGTGGTCATCGATACTGTATTTGTATGTTCTCATGGCCTTTTCTAGCTTGGTTTAGAACCAGAAACTTGTATCGAAAGTGTCATTTGGCAATATGAAACATATCACCTATCAAGTGATAGTGGCATGAATCTCATTTGTGTGCCAAATAAATAAAAATAGTAAAAAGGAATAAATATTTAAGCTCAGGCACAGCAGTTCCTCTCAGATCCTGTCATTGAATCATTTCCATATTAAGACCTGCATAATCCACCCAAGCGTTTCAATAACGCCACACTGCAAATACTGTCCTTGGCATTCAGGAGACCTCTGCCGTGTCCTGTTTGGGTCTGACTGTCTCCGTGCATACTAATGAACCCTTGAACATCTGTCCCACTTAGTCCCAGCACTGATAGCATAAAAGGGAGCTGCTGATTTTTCATGGCTGGCTGGCTTGATTAACCAGTGTGTTCGGTCTGAACATATAAGGCAGTTTATTAGTCCAGAGACGAGTTGTGGTGACCCTGACCCACCTTTTGCCAGTATCCATGCAACTGAGAAATCTAAAAACAGTGCATTATGAATTCCAAACAGGGCCTTGTTATTTGTCACCAATAGACAATTGGGTTTTGATTTACCCCTGATTGCTCCTGTGTATTAATTTGTGGTTGCATAATTGAGGATTGATTTCAAGTTGCATGCATTATTTTCATAAGCTTTGTTTATATTCATGCCAATTGGTTTATTTATATTACTTGAATGGAATGAAGTGGAGTGCAATGAAGCAAATCCTTAATTGGAAAGACTGTGACAATTTAAACTTTCAATATTTCTACTGCCTATTAAAAATGGCAAATGGCATTACTTGTTATGAATGCCCAATGAGCCTGACCAAACAAACAACAATAACTTTGTAGAACTGTCGCCAGTTCAGCTGACTGATATACAACATTGTATAGTGTTTTGTTTTTTCTGCATTGTTAATTATATTATTCCATTACATTTTAAATAAATACAATATCCTTTTTTTATAACATCCCCATTACAATTTCCCAAGGTGACTTCTTCATATTACATATTTTCTCCAACTAACAGCTCAATCAAAAGTTTACAGTGTTAAAGCAGAGACAAGCAGAAAATATTCACATTTGAGAAAGTGGCACCAGTGCATTTTAACTTGAAGAATCATCGAAATGATTAATTGATTGTCAAAGCCAATTCATTTTTGTTGATTGACTACTTGATGAATTTCAAAATCCATTCAGCTCTAACATAAAACCAACCATTACTTACCAACTTCTGACATTTCAGGGACACTGGCGAAGTAGATTTCCTTTTCAAACTTTGGCGCATTGTCGTTGATGTCGTGAATCTTTATATTAAATTCGGTGTCAGGCTCCAGCTCTGCATTGGTGGACCTGTCCAGCACCTTTGCAATGAGTGTGTACATAGCTTTCTCCTCCCTGTCCAGCCTCTTGGTGGCATGAATATCCCCCGACTTCTCATCTATCAGGAACAGGGTGCCTGCCCCGTCTCCAGTGAGAACGTACCTCACATTGCCATCTCCTTTGTCCATGTTGGAGTGCAGCTGAAAATAAGAAAGACATGTTTTTCATATATATATGGAAAGAAAGAGATGGAGAGAGTCAAACTTGTACAAATAGAGTGATGTTGGTTCTAATTAGGGGCATTGGAGACCTTGCAGTGCATTTCTGTGCAATGCATGTCAAGTTGACAGGAAAACACACTCCTGCCATTTTGTGTAACCTGTGGCAACAGAACATGGCTGTTTAAAGTGAAAAAACAAGAACAGAAAAAAAACAAACCTATCCCATATAGTTACAGGTCGTAATCATTGCCCTTGAGCACCTCTCCACACAATAACAAATCTTTTCCTCCCTAGTTGCTAACATCAAATCTGTTTGCAAGACTAGGTCTTGTTTTTGACTGTGGTGAAAAACTTGAACAATACACGGAAAATAAAATAATACATGTTCAGCCATGGGTCTCCCAGTTTAGAATATTTTCCATGGGTTTTTTGTCAGTAAGCATTACAGAGAGAAATAAGCTTTTATTATATATATATATATATATACAGTCAAGACTTTACGCCCTCAGATTCATTTACTGAACATCCAGTAAATAAGCAGTGCATGCTATATGTGTTCTTTGCGAATGAAAACGTAAAATATACTGTTTAGCGACAGGGACTTAAACTACATTTACACCACAGTCCATATGTATAAAAACTTTGTGACATTCTTGTGAACACTGAAATAATGGTGTTAACCCAGTGAGGAATCTATCTGTTTTATTCTCCGAACAGAACAGTGCCTTGGCACCCACAGTGTCAAGTGTGACATACTCCATTAGTTCAGATCAAATTAGTTTTAGATTTTTCTTCCAAATTGTGCCTTTGAAAAATGATGAAAACCTGACCTACAGCAACAATTGCTAAAATTAGTCACCTCTGACCTATCCATCACCTTGAAGCAGCTCTAAGTGTCATGGAGGAGTAATGGTGGCATACTGTGACAGACACTTGATTCAAGCTCATTACTGTACTGGATCTGTCAGCAGATATATTTAGAGCACTATCTCATGGGTTCACATTTTAAATGACATGTAGTTAGGGACAAAGAATGTACGTCAGTAACTTATTAATATTAATGTCTGCATGCTGTGAGGAAACTAATTATTTTTTCCTGCAGTTGGAGAAGGGATGTCAACAGTACAACTTTAGAAATCAGAAATGTATTGCCAGAGTGCTAGCTATTCTCAGGCAGAATTAAAAAATGGGGACACGTGAAAACAAGATGCTGTCAAGTTTAAATGAACAATATGCACATTATTTGAGGTCGTGTTTGAAAATATTTTCATGCAGATGAACTCCATTACCCAAAGTCTATTAAAGACGAATATCACTCAGCTTGAATTTTCACATATATTTGTGTTCTGGGACAATCTATTCATTGTTTGTGAATATAAATTCTCTCCTGAGCTGTAGACCAGTGAACCAAGGATTTGTGACATGTTATGGATGTGAAAGCTGCTACTGCTATTGACTATGAATGACAGGCTAATTTTGGCGAAGCAGAAGAGTGTTTGTCTGAATGTTTGCATTTAAATGGGCTTTATATCTGTGGTGTGCCCATGCACTGCTGTGAAAAAAAAGTCTTGTAGTGTCACAGTCACCTTTTCCTTCTTTTGAAATCCATTGTCTATGTAGTGGTATATTGCTGGTAGGAGACATTATGACATGTTGAATTACTCTGCGACATAAGAACATATTGCATTACTGATATTCAGAACGGTTTCCATTCAAAAAACACTTCTATGCTTTCAGTGTAATAATTAGGCCAATACAATTTCAGACCACAGGAAATGCATTTTTTCAGATCTTTTGATTGCATTCTCCAGGAGTTTTTTAATCTGATTATTACCATATTTCCAGTCTTGGTTGCTAATCCTGTAAAAAGGAACCTGAGAAGCAAAAACAACAAACAACAAGCCATCAAAGGAGCCTGCACCCTATGCAGCCAAGCTGTCTACAGGATAATGGAAATTGTACAGTCTTTGCAGAACCTTGTGGTATGTATTTTACATATTTCCCTTTGTTGACGTTGGAGAATCCAAGCCCTTACCTCATGCGCATTTGCTAATTATTGGATGTCTATATAATCATATGGGTAAACACATCTTCTCCCCACGGCCGTATCGATGTCTTACTGAGGGGTAATGCAAATATAGAGGGGATTTGCAGAAGTAAGCAATGTTATATTGAATTATTATGAGATAACATGTCATCTAAAAATAGTAATAGTCCTGTACATCTAAATAGGTGAGGCACTGTTTCAGCAACATAAAGGTTTAAGGTTTGATTGCTGCAGGGATGTCCCATAGAAACTGTATAGATTTAATCTTCAGTTTAATCACTTAAAGTGTATTTGTGGATTTTTATTGACATATACCAGTGGTGAGTATTGTATATTGTAGTGCACTCTGCATCTAACATATAGTGTAAACCTATTACATCTAGCTAGAAACAAATGGCATTGATACTCTTGACAAAGTGCAGCACAAAGTGTTTTCACACAGCCTTAACAAAATCAAATGTTAGCACTAACACACTATATTTGCAGGGATTTAGTGGCTCTCCTTTCAAGGCCTTGCAGCACAAACACAGCCTTTTCAAGGCCTTACAACAGAAGCACAGAAGAGAGCCTTGATGAGTTAAATCGCCTTGCACAAACACTGAGGAATTGTCAGTAAAGCAGCAAAATCATTGGCAATTCTTGTCAGGTCTGTGGTAAGCATTGCTCTGTGCTGCAAAGAGGAGATAGCAAAATAGAGCGCAGAACGGATACAGAATAATTACTCTTCCTCCCTCTCTCCCTCTGTGTCTTAAGACATAGGCGAAGAAATTGTTACTACTGGAACACTGTAGCATAATGTATATTATGCAGGTTAAAGTTACAGCTTACAATATCTCTCAGTGCGCTTTGTATTTTTTATACCTTATACAAGTCCTGCAATATTCATGCAGAAATGCATCAAGCAAGGCCTTGCAAAATCTCAAGGATACATATTGGCAAACTATTAGCACAACAAAGTGAGCTACCTTGAGTATTCTAATTTAGGGCAGCACATTTTCTTTACAAGACAATACAAAGCACCAGAAATTTAATAGGATTTAGTTCACTTCAAACACGCCACTCAAATGCTCCAGAATCCAAAGTTTGTGGTTGTATTGCTCAGCATTGCAAGTGTTCACACTTCACAGCCCTGCTTAAGAAGTAGGGCACCACAGCTGCACACAGTGAGTGCTCACACTCATTAATGGCCCTGTGAAAGTCAGTTAAAATGAGATTTGAGAGTTTTACGCTTGATACATGCCCATCCACTGCATGGCATATTTACACTCATAAAACATACTATGCTTCTATTCACTGTTGACAATTGCTACTGAGCAAGTGCTCCAAACCTTACTTTTACTAATGCAGATATTTTTCCTATCATTCTGTGAGCTATCAGTCAGCACCACTCAGTGTGTAAGCTTCAAAGCAGCGTGTCTTTTGAACACCTTGATAAGCAATATAAACTGCATTTATTATATGGTGCAGTCACAGTAGTGCACTGTCGCAGTATTCGCTGCTCCTTTTTTCAGTTAAGGAGTGAGCTATGCAAGAGGGTGACTGTTCTTTACATCCAATTTGATTGCCGTAATCAAGAAATCAACCTCAAGTGACAGTTAGTGAGTGTGTGTGGGTTGATTGGAGAGGTTTGATTGAATGTGAAATAAACAAGGTATCCCACAGTGCACTGCGAAGGCCATTAAATGATCTTTATGAGGAAGACCATCAAGGCTTTGATGGCTTTGTGCTGGGCATGAAAGTGCTTTTTGCATTTGGTCTTGGTTCTTCATCTATTTTTTCTCTCTCTCTTTCTCTCTCTGCCCCTCTACCTCTCTAATCTATTTGTCTGTCTGTCTTTCTATCTGTCTCTTTATCTGTGTATCTGTCTTTCTCTCCCACATTCGATTGTTCTACCTCTTTTTTCGTATCTATTAGTCTGTCCCTCTCTCTACCCCGTGTCGATTTAGCTATTTGTCTTTTTCAGCCATTCTATCTAGCCATCGTTCTGTCCATCTGTCGCAATATCTATTACGGCTGCAACTATAGATTGTATTGTGACGATCGATGATTGATTCATCATTTTGTCTACGGAATGTCACAAAATAGAACATGCTCATTATAATTTCACAGACCCAAAGGTCATGTCTTCAAATGCCTTGCTATGTTCTTACCAACAGTCAAAAACCCAAATATACTTAATTAACAACGATTTTAACCAATGACAGGCAGCATGTCTTACAGTTTTTTTAAGCTGGAACCAGAGAAGTTTTTGCTTGAAGAATGAAATGGTTGAAATAGTTGATTAATTTTCTGTTGACAGATATACTGACTGACTATAGCTGGTTTTTAGGGCTGCAACAAATTATTATTTTCATTATTGTTTAATCTGATAATCATTTTCTTGATTAATAGCTTAGTTGATGATATCTATCCATATATATAGATAGATCTCTATTAAAACATTTGCCAGATACTAGCTTCAATTGGCTTGATTGACTTGCTAATACTCTAAAATATTAAGCTTCCTGTCATTTAAAACAGCAAATTGTCACAACAGAGAATATTACTTGCCTGACACGATATAAAATAGTTGCAAGTGAATTATTTAATAAACTATTTGTTGCATCTCTGTTTTTATCCAATTATACATCCTATAACTTCTTCTCTGTAGCTATCCTCCCTGTCACCATCACAGTATGTCTCTCTATCTAAAGCTCCAAAGTTAAACTGATGGAATTAGTGATACGGATCGCCACAGCTCCTTCTGTAAAGCAGAGTGGCAGTATGTGGCTGCCCTATTTTCCCCCCTCAGTAATTTATTACAGCCTCATGTTTTTCTGACACTTTAATAGTGAATGATATTGGACACAGGAAGAGTGGAGAACTGGTGAATGTGATTGCTGTCATGCTGCTGAAGTTGGGTGCCAGAAAGCATCAAAGAGTCGGGAAGAAAGCCACATCGTACCAGTCACTGACATATCAAGGGATGGCCCCATTTATAGTTAGCATTTGCTTTGCTGCTTCATCACATAACACAACAAGGGGAATTTCATTGGCCTTCTTGATTGATATGTTTTCTTCTTCCTCCTCCTTCTATCTCTATTCCATTTATTTTTTGCTGTTTCTTTCTCTTCACCACATCAGGATGATGGTTTCTGCAAAAGAAGTTGTCATATCCCCCTACTCAACCTTGCACAAGACACTTGTTTACTCCGGAGAATGAGGTGTGTGATGAAAGCCAGCTTCCTCTGAGAAAATTGGCTGTCGACAGTCACCTCATTTCCCTCCCTCGAATTGATAACTGTAGCGTTCCCCATCACACCTGTCTTTATAGTGCTAGCACGGGTGAGCTGACAAGAACCTCTTTGATCCGGGTGGGTGGGGAGGAGGAGCATTGTTCTGAAACTCGGGGGAAAGGGGAGCATTGTCCCGAAACTTGGGGTCTTAGGAGAAAAGTGCCTTGCAAGAGCTGTAGTTTTTGAATTTGGTCTCCAACCACTTTCCCGGCACCTGAGACTCGTGCCTGTTTTGAGTCAGACTTGTGTGGGCCGTGACCTGATGTTGATTATGAAGTTCGTACCTCATTTCTGTGTTTTTGTTTGTTTTTTGTCAAACGTCTATAGAGAGTAAAGAAGAGCTTTACAGTAAATTGAAAATAGGAACACTTTGTGGCAGTACGTAGTGTGTCAAAGTTTGATTTCAATGACTGTGCAATAGGTGTCGCTGTCTACTTATTTTATTTCTGTGCCACAGTGACCATGTACCTCCTTATGGGGTCATTTTTGAAAAAAGATGTCTAAGTCTATTTCTTTCATGGCCCTGCTTTTGAATAGGGCTTGCTAACAGCTCAGTTGGCTCATGAGTCATGTTCACTTGCCACTATTGACTGATTTGAGCAGTGATTATTAGGCTTGTCTGACGAAAATGACTTCATATTATCTGTTAAAAAAGCCACACATTGTTGCTTTTGGTTAACAATGAGATAGTCTTATTACATTGACAGCATCTTCCCAACAAGAAATCAATGGAACTTTTATTTTAGATATAATAGAGTATTTTTTTTGCTGAACAATGTGACTAAAAATAACTGTTTTCTGAAGAAGCGTGGAAGACTTGAGGCATATAGATCAGTTCATGTGCACTTGCTGTGTATCTGATAGCTCCAGTTAACTGTGCCTGTAAAGATTTCTGGCACCCCATTCGTCTTCAGCCAATTACATCAAACACTACTTTAACAAGCTAAACCTTCTATAATTAGTCTGCAGACAATGTGTTTGGACACGTTACCTTGCCAACATATTGATGGTCATTTCCTGTGTATTCCTCGAGCAGAAAGAATTGATTCCACATCCATCCACGTTTGGACCGCTGAAGAATCCTCCCATCACTCTCTGCCATCCCAAACAGATTCCCAATATTCCCAGGCGTGAAAGGCAGGGCAGTGCTGGGCCACAGGATAGAGAGCATCAAGAGGAGCAGAACCTGATTGGTTCTCATGGTATCCAATCAGCTGGGAAATGTCCTGGATGACTTCTGAATTATGGTAATACGCTTCTGATAGGATGAACACTGGATGAACACAGTGTCATCAGAACAGACATTGTATTCCTCTCTTTGATGTCCTTTAGATTCCTGTGAAAAGAGGAAACTTTAGTCAAAAAGCACTTTCATGACACTTATGTATCTCTTTCACAATAGGCTTTAAATCCTAGCAGTGTAGAAGAACCACTGAGACAGCTCGAGGACTACAATTGGGGTGACACTTATGTGCAGAAAAATAATTTCTGTATGCAGCATCTCTCTTTCAATTTGTGATTTACCACGGCGGCAGCTAATTATGCAATCAGAAAATACGAATTCCTTCAATGTGTAATGCGAACATAGTGAAGTGAGCCTCAAAAATAGATTTAAATGTACTGCTTGTAAAATGAAAAATAAAAAAATTGATGAACATTCCAAAACTATTCAACTCCATTTTAGAAACCTATTTGGGTGTACTATTATCTAATAATAAGAAAGTTTGCACAATGTAGTAGGAATCATTAGACAAACTTCTATGGAAGTGATTAATGCCGGAAAATAAGCCTCTACAATGCCAATGGTATCACCAAAACGGCAATCATCATAGTGTATTAGCAACTTAGTGAATGTCAAATTCAAATAAAGTTTAATCACTGCACCAACTGCCTCCTGCCATGTCTCCTTCTTTCCCTTTATTTGAATAGTAAAGGAGTGAGCTGCACTTCATTAATTATAAGTTGCATTACTGATGATGCGCAAACAGTGCTTCACAGCCGGTGAGTATGTTTGAACAGAGTAATGTGGGCATCTTTTAGATGCAGAATGCTTCTGACATGAGCAAAAGGAATCACTCTAAACTCCGTTTTTATTTTTGTGTTCTGCTTCATACTCAGTCAGTTACATTGCAACGCTACAGAGCAGCTTGCACTACCATTCGTAGAGATTAATTGTCTTGCTGAAGATGGATGTTGTCTTTTTCATCTCCTCCATCCAGTTCATTGCCCTCGCACATTTTCTCCAACATTTTAACTCCGATTCGTCTATGCTTTCATACATTACTGATTGATTCCATAGATTTTTATTCCCCCTAGATGTTATGATGCACTTTAAAAGGAGAAAATCTATACAGGCATGTGATGAAGTTCCAAAACCAACACAATTATCCCCACGTATCTGTCAGGCTTTGTGCCTGTGATAAGGTATTTTGTGTTATTGCTAGTTCTCTTCCGATACTTCAATAAGGCTGTGTCCCCACCAGGGCTCGTCCTGATAGGTAATTTGGGTATGCATGCATAATTTATGGTCTTTTGGAAGTTAATCCTAATAAATCTTCCCTCTCTTTCTAATAGAGCCCATTTAGTAGGTTTCCCGTATAAAGGCCAGAATACCAGAATTATCCTGACAAGCATTCACCGTGTACCTCAGGGAGTGCTGTGCAAAGGCACATGCTAGTTTAGCATTCTTCTGCTTTTGTTCAGACCTCTTAAGTAAGAACTGTAATGTCAGTGGAGACATTCGCTATGAACAAATTAGTATTATGGTTCCATTGATGAAAGTGAAGTGCAGAATATAAATGAATGTAATCTTTTGCATAGAAAATCAAATAACTGAACTAACGAGATCTCAACGTAAAGCATCGCTCAGTCTGCTCATTCTTACTCGCTCAGACAGTTTTATTCACTTGAATCTGTTTAATCAGCAATAATTTTCAAAAAACACCCGAGTTCAGAATACTTTTTGCCTGAGTTGATGAACATTTGTTAAGGAGGGACATTAGTGTTTCACAAAGTAAAACACACAGAACTATGTGATGTATGTTGGTACCAACCACAGCAGTGAGGTAGCTAATCCAACATAAATCCAAAATGTTCGCAGTGTATTTTTTTCTGACACCAGAGCACCAAGTACTGAGATTTTAATTTACTCAAAGTACTGATATAATAGGAAACGAGATAAAATATAGATAGTGTTGTAAATTGCTGATGAGTGCTACATTTTTATGTTATTTTCTTGTGCCTGCCCATAATGTGGCATGAGTGTGACACGTGCATTCCCGAAATCAGGAAACGCCGCCTTGCAATTAATCTAGTCTGATGCTTGTGATTGCATTTTCTAATTATCATTCCAGCCTGTCCTTGAGTTTTAATAGCATTCTGGATATTAATCTTTGATGTGGCGTGCCTATTAAGCATTAGGCCAGTGTGTCTTTTCAGAATTCCTCCAAACACTCCATTAAAGGATGAGTGAGCATGCTGAATCCATGCCAGATCCTATAGACTCAAGCTGAATTATCTCAATTTATGCAGCCTATTAAATAGTAGGGTTTATTAAAAAAAGTTGTTTATGATTAGATTAAGTTGTAGACAGCTTATATGGCTTAGCATTAAAGACAGAGATGTGAAGGTACAAAATTGTTAAATATGCTTTTAAAGTGTTGTCCGGGGTTGTTATTCTTAATCTTGGCTAAGACTCATTCTGGCAATAGCTCTGCTGTGCCCCATTTCTGTAATCTGCAAAATTATACATTCTTGTTTTGCTGAATAAGAATATCTTTGATCAGATATAAACTAGCTGTTCATCAGGATATGCTTCCTAGAAAAGCACAGCCTTGCACATTAGTCTGTATAAATTTGTATACACATGCATTCCAAAATTGAACATGCAGGCTCCCCTGCAAACATTAAACTGAGCACTGCAACTAAGCACTTTTATGGCTTCTCTGGCTTTAGTAGGACAATAATTATAGGCGCAATGTGCAGCAGGAGTCGGGCTGGTAAACCTTTTCAAGAGGTCTTGCATGCATAATAAATTGTTATCCTCTATACATGGGAGAATATAAACACCTAAATTGACCATCTGTTCTGTACATTGCAGAGATTATTAAACATGCCACTTTTAAATACACTGCTTTCACCCACAACCTCCTGATTATGACACAATTTGCCATTTACTGCAAAGGCACGTTTTTTTCTAAAGGGGACTAGCAAAAGTCACATTTTGATAAAAATAATCATATAAATTGCTAAATTATTATGGTTTAATTCACATTATCAAAGAAGCACACGCCTTTAGAACCAAGCAAGTCAACACACACACACACACACACACGCAGAGTTACATAAAGGTGGGACGACATAATTAAGGATCTATCATCCAAAACCTCCTACCTACTATGAAAATAACCAAATTTGGAACTGCTGGCCTTCAAACACGATTTTAATTAGTGTTATGTTGCAAGGCTGAAAAATTCAACAAGTGAGTAAACTGTATGAGGACCATACATAAACATAGACGGAGGTATATTAATGGGGAGAGGAAAAGACAAGGATGGAGAGAGGTTGATGAAGGGTTGCAAGGTCATAAAAGTGGTGTCATGATTAGTCTTGGCGATCATTTATACCTGCACCGTTCACCCAGTAGCATGAGTTATGACTGGTAAATGCAGCATCTTTGTGGTGACAAATGCTCACCATACATGTGACTTGGGTGCAAGAAACTAGTGTTATGTGATTGGCAGTTTGAGCAGCTCCAGTGATTGCTCACTGGTATTGACAGACCAGCACAGAGAGTGTAAATCTAGCATGAGGGGCGTTTATGCACCAAGATGCAGCACCCGTACAAACCTCCACTTGGTGGAGCCCTAGACCTTCCCAAGTCTGCCTCCGCTGGCTGCAGTCTTTGGCAAACCTCAGCAAGCTTTACTCATGTTTTGAAATCCTCTAAGCAATTTTGTGATACAGTGCACACTTCCTTGTTGAAAAGCTTCTCCAAAAGGGAGGGAGGGCCTTCTTTCTTGAAAAGGGGTATGTTTGCAGTGAAATGTAACATGAAATCCACTTATTTAAAATAAATAAACCACATTTCTTATATTGGCATTGCCTTTAGAAGAGTGTATGTATTTTTACAAGGCTCTTCATCTATCTCTATAAAGATGTAACAACCAAGTGAAGGAAACTCTATTCAGGTTAGCATAGCCAAACCACAAGAAAAGCACACTGGCAAAATATACTTTAACAATATAGAAATGCTTAGATTTAAAATGTCCACATTTATTCCATTATTTTGTAAAGACAATACCCCAATTTCCTCCTTCATGTTTACTATTTCCCCATTAACATTATACATTACACAATATATAAATATTCATGCCTAATCCTTAATCCTAAACCAGCTGTGTGAGTGCTCATGAGAGCCTCTGTGCCTGTGTGGGAGAATGGATTTCCACCTCTTTTAATTTCACTGAAAGGTCACTCCATATCTGACAATAATTCAGGGAGCGTGTTAGTGGCTAATTTGCACTAAACAATAATGGCGTTACATGGATGACCCGGTGCACACTACTATACCCATAAAATATCACTTTGGTGACTGTAAAGCTGTTGGTGTGTACGGCAGCACACAGAGAGACTGGGCGCTTAGAAGGAGCGGAAAAGAGTGAGGGGTGGATTAAGTTTGCGCTGTGGAGGATATGCACATGCACATACTCGGCAACACTGTTGGCTGCTCTCGTTGCACTGCTCGAGCACCGCGATAAACACCTCCATGCGTTTTTAGAGATATGAATGGTACAGCGCCTCTCCATCAAATCTGCCCAGAGCACATCACAAGTATGATTTCCCCCCAACTGCCTCTCAGCAGACAGACAAATGCGTCTACACACGCGCACATACAGAGCTTGGCACTGACACTTGAACAGGTGCACACACACTGACAGACATTCATATATATTGCACATGTGCGTATAGACAGGGATGTGCATTTATACATTTGCACATAAGATGTATGTGCATCCACTGGTGCACAGTAGAGCACTTAGTTGGATGAAGCACTTTGGATTGAGTGACAAAGTTAATGCTTGTCTTTATAAAAGCACTCTATGACCCCAAGCAATAACACCCACCTTGAAGTTACATATGCAGGGTTCACTGTGTGACAGGTGTCATGAGCTGACTAATAGGAAATTTAAAGGGGATCAACATATACTGAAAATACCTAGTTGTGCAATTTTCTTTTAGGTTTGTTTTTTACATTAATGAGATTTAAGTTCCAATTAGTAAAAAATAAAACAAATTATTGAGACTCCCCTCCAGCACTAA